AAAACGGCCAAAAACCTGCTTTTTGGGCTGTTTTCAGGCCATTTTCTGGCTGTTTTTTGGGCTATTTTCAGGTCGTTTTCTGGGCCATTTTCAGGCTGTTTTTTGGGCTGTTTTGGGGCTAAAAAAGGCCTGAAAATGGCTTAAGAAACAGGCAAAATACCAGGGATGCATGCGCTGGCCAGCTTATCTTTGGGTTTCCGGTGCTCCGGCGTGCACATGCACGTATGTCCCAGTTTGGGCACTTGGTGCCGAAAAGGTTCACCATCTCTGGTCTAAAGTATCTGGAGGCCATTTGGTTGCTTAGCATGGGTTCTATCTCCCCGAACTTCTGAACCCCTACAAATCACAGTGCAGTTTCTTCTACTGAGATGAGAAAGTTTAACCCGAGAGACCTAAGCGGAAAACTTTATCCACATGATCCAATTCTCCTTTGTCCTGCACTACAGGGAAGAGATCTCTCCCTGTTCTACGGGTGTGCAAAGATGCCATAATTGACCACACAACTCATAAAGCGTTCCCTCTTTCACTGCTCGCAAAAATGTATTAACAAGAGCAATAGCACTTGGACGTATATACCACTTCACAGCGCTTTTGCAGCCTTCTCGAAGCGTATTGGTGTCCCCCCCCCCAACAATCTGGGTCCTCATCTTTACCGACCTCGGAAGGATGGAAGGCAAAGTCAACCTTGAGCCGGTGAGGATCGAACTCCAGACAGTAGGCAGAGTTAGCCTGCAATACTGCAGTCTGACCACTGTGCCACCAGGTAAAATATATAATTTTTGTGTGCATGGGGATGAATATCTTGATACAAAAATCTATGGGCTGTGTTTGAACAAGCCCATATCTTTCAGCATTAATTATACTATAATTATACCTGAAGGTTTAATTCTGCTGCATAAGCAGATAGAGAAATGCCTACGGAAGACACTTCTTCTTTTATTTTGACCAACTGCGAGGGATCAGTAGTATACATTTCTTAGTGCCTGACGCACTCAAATTCTGGCATTTTATGGAAAAGCAGCGAATGCCCTAAAAAAGTTAGGGCTGTAAGAAAAATGGGAACCATTTTACCAATTTTGTGATCTCTTAAGAGGCATCTGTAATGGGTGGTGCTTTTTCAAGAGGCAACTGGACTTTCCTTTGTTTTTCCTTGAAGACGTTTCGCTTCTCATCCAAGAAGCTTCTTCCATTCTGGCTGAATGGTGGAGAACGGAAGGACTGATAGTCAGTCAGAGGCGAAGAAGCTTCTTGGATGAGAAGCGAAACGTCTTCAAGGAAAAACAAAGGAAAGTCCAGTTGCCTCTTGAAAAAGCACCTGACCTGCATGATGGAGAATCTCCATAGACATTTAACAGGTAGAGCCATACTTTTGGATTTCTTTGGTTTGGGGGGATCTTGGGCAATTTTAAGGGGACACAAATGCGTGCCTGAAGTCTTCCTAATGCTGAAGGAACTCATTCATCCTTTGAAACCCCTTCCCCAAGCCCTCATTGGCTCTGCCTATCTCGGGCAGGTGGCCTCCACCTGTCCTATGACACCTGTCTCAACCCCATGAACGGGAAGACGTAACAAGAAGTCTCATCTTGTAATGGTGTGTGTATGTGTGGAGTTGAAATCCAGTGAAGCAATGGACAATGATGACATGGACAGACAAGATGTGAATGAGATGGCGGGCTGCACAAATTCGTTCATTTTAGCAGCTTTGTACTATGTTCAGCCCATAAACTTACGAATGGATTCTACGATTCTGAAAGCTCCCACAGATTTATGGGGGCTCCTAAGGCCATAATAGTGCATAGCTAAATCATAATAAAGGGGAAGGAAAGAGCCACTGTTTCATAAGGGGGGAAAAAAAGACATTTTTTAAAAAAACATAATATACATTTAACAACCTTACAATAGGGTGTGCATCTTAGGTATAAAATTTCCACTGGCCTTTTTTTTATTATTTTAGTCACCTCATAATTTATAATAAATAGTTAATCACAACTGATAAATATGCCTCTTTCAGTAAACAAAGGAATGAAAATTAGTGTTTATACAGGATGTATACATTTAAAATCATAGGACGCTGCCAATGAAGAGATTACTGGCTTCAAGAAAAGAGTGTTCAGAAACACAGAATTATTTTAAAAGCAGAACTGTGCTCCGTACCACAACAATTTGTTTTATCAAATCAAAGTCACAGCAGTGAAAAGAAAGCATAATTTTTTATATATATAAAGATTTCTGACTTCTAGTTTCGAAACTATCAATACATAAAGTAAAAACTGATCTTGATTACACTTTAAGAAGCAGTAAATAAAATAATGATATCTTCTAGAAAAAAAAATAATGAGAAATATCTGCCACCCACCCCCACACTTTAATAAATTTTATGTATATAAAAGCACTAAAGATATGCAAAAGGAAGGAAGGAAGGAAGGAAGGAAGGAAGGAAGGAAGGAAGGAAGGAAGGAAGGAAGGATAGAGATATTAGTTATACCTAGGTGGTTAAGATTTGAAAAAAGTCAGGATCCAGGCAAAGTTAAGATAAATCCAATTCCCAGACAAATTTGCACCAAAAAGTACATTAAATGAGAGTGTAAACAGGAGAGCAGTCTTAAGCTCAGCCAAGCTACATTGCAAACTTTGTGTTAAATTATCTCACTTATATCTATTGGGCTGAATACCAAATAATCCAACCACAACAAAGCTTCTCAATCAGAATAGAGCTGGAAGGGACCTTGAAGGTCTTCTAGTCCAACCCCATGCTCAAGCAGGAGACCCTAGACCATTTCAGAAAAGTGGCTGTCCAGTGTCTTCTTAAAATCCTCCAGTGATGGAGCAGCCACAACTTCTGAAGGCAACTTCTGTTCCACTGGTTGATTGTCCTCAATGATGGGAAGTTTCTCCTTAGTTCCAGGTTGCTTCTCTCCTTGATGAGTTTCCATCCATGGTTTCTTCTCCTGCTTTGTTAGTTGTTCTGACAATTCTGTTAGTTGTTCTGTTGCTTGCTAGATTTTATCTCGGTTCTCAAGAGCTTCTTGCTAATAGCGATTAACAAAGCTACTAAATTGGGGTCTTTGCCGTATATCAAGTTAGGCTCCTTGATAATGTATCAAGATTGGTTGGCCATCTGCCTCTGAATGCATAGATGTCATCTCTAGAAAATCCTCCAGCCACATTGGTGGAAATCACTTTCCTAATAACCTTAGTGACACTTGTATAATAACTAGTCGTATTTCTTCAGGAAACGCTTTGAGCTTCGTCATCCAGTGATTTCACTAATTCAAGTCAAGATATTAGTAGTCCGGGAAGTTGTAGAATGCTCTCTTTTTTAAGCAGACTGTGTTTCTGATTCAAAGCACATTTTTATTCTGAATAACAGAATATCAAGATTTGGAAGGAACCTTGAAGGTCTCCTAGTCGAGCCCCCTGCTCAAGCAGGAAACCCCATGCCATTTCAGATAAGTGACTGTCAAATCTCTTCTTAAAGACTTCCAGTGTTGGAGCATTCACAACTTCTAGAGGCAAGTTGTTCCACTGATTAATTGTCCTCACTGTCAGGAAATTCCTACTTAGTTCTAAGTTGCTTCTCTCCTTGATGAGTTTCCACCCATTGCTTCTTGTCCTGCCTTCAGGTGCTTTGGAGAATAGCTTGACTCCCTCTTCTTTGGGGCAGCCCCTGAGATATTGGAAGACTGCTCTCATGTCTCCCCTGGTCCTTCTTTTCATCAGACTAGAGGCACCCAGTTCCCGATTCTAATCCAGACAAAAGCATCCTATGTGTTTTCAGCAAGCCAGACCAGAAATATTTGATTGGAGTTCTGCATATTTTATTGAGAACTTTCATTAAGAGGTTTCAAGACTCCAATTTCACGTCCAATATGAATATTTGGAGAATAAATACATGTGTGTATAGCAAGTATAGGTTACTTCCTGACACACAAGTTCTAGAAAACTTCTTTCCTTCAGAATAATCCCGTTTCTCGGTTGCTCAGCTCCGATCTGACATTTTTAGGATCATGCAGCTTTCCAGAAGTTAATCCTCAAATCCAGCCCATTCTAGTTGGGAAGACAGCTTCTACCATCTGCAAGAGCTAAACTGGAAGATGAAGACGAAGACGAAGACGAGGACGAGGACGAGGACGAGGAGGAGGAGGAGGAGGAGGAGAAGGAGAAGGAGAAGGAGAAGGAGAAGAAGAAGAAGAAGAAGAAGAAGAAGAAGAAGAAGAAGAAGAAGAAGAAGAAGAAGAAGAAGAAGAAGAAGAGGAAGAAGCTTTTTGAATCTCTAATCTATAACTGTGACCTGGTACATCCCTGCCTTAACATTACCAGCACAAATAACAATCATATTGCAAGCTGCCACTGTCTGACATAAAAGTGATAAAACATTAAGAGGTTCCTCTGCTAATTGTGTAGCTTGGGAGGTTTTGAATATTCCTAACTTTGGCTGAATCCTGATCATTAAAGAAAGGAAGAACGAGATGGCAAAACATCAGCATTTTCCCATCCAGTGCACACATTCATACATTCACTTGCACGCTTTACTTTTTTTCCTTCTTCTTTTAACAATCAAATATAGATAAGCGTTAAGTTCAGCTTTCTAAATACGTTAGTGTACAATATTGTTTCGCCTTGTTATAATTACATTTGAATAGTCTCGATTAAGAAAAAATTCAGCAGTTTTGTTTTTCGTTTTTTTAAAAGAACGCGGCATTTACAGTGCATAGCTCTAACAAAAAAAAGAAAGAGTGAGTGAGAGAGAAAGTGCGTTGTTTTCTCATATGCTATGTACACGAAATAAAAATACTCCGTTTGAACAAGTATAAATACTTGACTGCATTCTCAAATGTATTCGGGTACATTCTTTTCTCTTTTCCTCCGTGAAGGTTACCTGCAACTGTTTTGTAGAGTAACACCATGTGGGTTCATCAAGGAAGAAAGAAAGAAAGAAAGAAAGAAAAAGAAAGAAAGAAAGAAGGAAGGAAGGAAGGAAGGAAGGAAGGAAAGGAAGGAAGGAAGAAGAAGAAGAAAGAAAGAAAGAAAGAAAGAAAGAAAGAAAGAAAGAAAGAAAGAAAGAAAGAAAGAAAGAAGGAAGGAAGGAAGAAGGGAGGGAGGGAGGAAGGAAGGAAGGAGGGAAGAAAGGAAGGAAGGAAGGAAGGAAGGAAGGAAGGAAGGAAGGAAGGAAGGAAAGAAAGAACTATCCCACAGGCTGATAGTTAATAAGGAGGATCTTGATCACTCTGTTTTGGACACACACACACACAAAATGGAAGTCACAATTAAAACAGCACACATTTAAAATCCTCTCGATGTTTTTTCAACCTTCCACTGTTTTTTTTTTTCTCTCCCCTGACAACAACACAGGAACGGACCATGGGTTTTGCAGTATCTGCAAGTTCTCTTTTTTGAGATGGTCATCCTATTAAAACAACCCGGTGTGAGATGCTTGCTTTACGGGAATCTTTAAAAATAAAAAAAAAAACCGAAACAAAAGAAATAAAATAAAATAAAGCACCCAAACACAGTTGTGTATCTTAGATGCCAGCAGCTAAAAGGTTCGGTTTGCTCCGTTCGGGGAAAAAAAAACAACACCGCACCGTTATGTACATATTTTCTAAGTTTTGCTTGGACTCGATCTCTATGGAACTGCTGCCCCTTATCAAAAGCCCAACCACCTCCTGCACACCCTGGAAAAGCAGCACCGAAACTTAAAAATAGATTTCACTGGGGTTATGAAAACTCCCGCTCTTCGTCTGCCTCTACTTGTGTCCACGTAAAACCACGTTGTTGTTTTTTTTGTAAGGGAGAAACGCAGAGGAGGAGATGCACGTGTGAAGGATGACTTCCTTTACGGGCTACGACTGAACGGCCACGCTGCTTGGCGAGGTTTTCGGCAACTTTCCGCTCTTCTACGCCTCGCCGAACGTTACCTTCGGAAGCTCCGTTGCGCCTCTTTAAGTAAACTATCGAAATCCATCGAGTCGTACTTGCTCTTAGTAGAAGCAGGATCGAAATCGTCTGAATCTAGAAGTTAAAAAAATAAATTTCTTGAGCCAGACTCATGCGCTCTCTTTCCTACGACCTGACCGTACCAGCTCAGGGTTTTTTTTTTTCCAAACGCGGCCCTTTTAAGACAGGTGGACTTCAACTCCCAGAATTCCCTAGTCAGCATGTCGGGGAATTCTGGGAGTTGAAGTCCGGTTATTTCAAAGCGGCCGAGTTTGAAAAATGCTGATACTACAGGTAGTCTTTGAGCAGTGGTAGGTTGCCCCCGGTTCGGACCGGTTCGCAAGAACCGGTAGTAAAACCGGCAGGAGGCTCCGCCCACCACCCCAGATGTCGTCATCAGCGATCTTCGCATGTGATCCCATTGCGAAACGGTGGTAAAGGTAAGTAGAACCCACTCCTGTCTTCGACGTACAACAGTCCATTTAGGGACCGTTCAAAGTTACGACGACCGTGAAAAAAAGTGGCTGATGACCATTTTCCACACTTACGACTGTTGCAATATCCCCATCGTCATGTGATCCAAATACAGATGCTTGGCAACTGATTTGTATTTATGGCGGTCGCATGTCCCGGGGGTCACGTGATCCCCTTTTGAGACTTGCTGACAAGCAAAGTCAATGGGAAAAGTGGATTCACTTAACAACCGGGTTATTACAAATTCACTTAACAACCAGGTTAACTGCAGAGATTCATTTAAGAACTCTGGTGAGAAAAGTTGTAAAATGGGGCAAAACTTGTTGAACAAATGTCTTACTTAACAATGGAAATTTTGGGCTCGAATGCGGTCATAAGCTGAGGAACACGAAGCATTTTCAGTATATTTTTCTCGCTGATTGTTATAAAAATACAAACAACAACAGTTGAAAACCAAATTAGTTTCATTGAAAACTATCTGATATGGAACAGTTAATTAAAGATAAGGTAAATGATAAAGAAAAGAGGGGGGGGGGAAAGTAAGAAAACATTTCCAGGGACTGACCACAGGAAAAGAGAAAAAGAAAATATACAGAGTATTACAATGAATGTCTTTCTTTTCCCGGACTATAAACGTAACGCCCTGATGATTATGCAAACCAGTATAAAGGTTTTAAACAACCCATAAAACTTTCAAGAGAATAACAATACCTAAACTTGCTCTGTGTTAACAAGGAGCTAATAAGGTTGACCGACATCGCAAGATCTCTTATTTAGGATTGGGAACTTGTCTGAAACTTATAAAACTCTGATTCATGGATCAATTCTTTGCAATTCGTTGTCTATGTACAACTTTGTCATTTCTAAGGATATAAGCGAATTACCAATGCAGATTTACCCTATTCTTCCTTTGGGAGGCTCAACCAATATTATCTCTACTGATGGAAGCTCCTTTTTCTGGCATTTTAGAAATGCAGGTAGTCCTTGACGTACGTCTACAATTTCTGTCATTCAGCGAGACAGTTGTTCGGTGACTTTTAACTCATTTTATGACCTTTCTGGCCACAACTAAATATATCACTCGTTAAATTAATAACACTGTTGTTAAGTGAATCGGGCTTCCCCATTGACTTTGCTTGTCGGAAAGTCGCAAAAGGGGGAATCACGTGACCCTGGGCCTCTGCAACCGTCATAAGTACAAGTCAGTTTCCAAGCATCTGAATTTGGACCACGTGACTCTGGGGATGCTGCAACGGTCGTAAGCGTGAAACATGGTCCTCAGTGACTTTTTTTCAGCGCCATTGTAACTTCAAACAGTCACTAAATGAACTGTTGTTAAGTCGAGGAGTATCTGTATAGTTCAGGGGTCTGCAACCTTAAACACTCAAAAGAGCCATTTGGACTCATTTCCCACAGAAAAGAAAACACCGGGAGTCACAAAAACCCTTCCCGTGCCTGACTATTTCTTGAGTGGCCACAAAGCTAGAATATATAGTTGAATTAAATGTTCTGTTTTCTTCTGAAACTTTTCTTTTCTTGGATTTATCCATGGTTGGCCTACCGAGGGTTGAAAAGCTCAATAAATCATGTGCCGGCAGGTGTCGCACATTGGCGGTTGTGACACATATTTTGAGCGACAGGGAGCCACAGTAGAGGGGTGAAAGAGCCACATACGGCTCCAGAGCCGCAGGTTGCTGACCCCTGGAATAGTTATACCCACACAAATGACATGCATTGGTAGTGTGATAAGAGCAGGATATTGTCGCATCACTAGGCAGAATTAGTGTAGACACTAAATTTTAATTTTACACGTCTCAGTGGCTGCAATCATTATTCAATATTCTTGGATCCTCTTATTGGACTGCTGTATTGAAAAAAATCTCTTTTTGCAAGTCATTTCTTGTTGGTCATAATATTTTTATATAAGCTCTTTGATGAATTGCCAATTACAGCAGGATAACACTCTAATCTCATCCGAGACAGTCCTAGTAACCACGTTGTTTCTCTAAAAAATGTTACAGAGAACAAAATATATTTTAATTATTCCACAAATTAATTGCCTTGCGTGATGAGCTGTTTGGGGTTGATTCTAGAATATGTCATGACGCTTTTTCCTCCGTAAACTAGGGCCCCTGTTCCTCTTCCGTGTTTAATTTATTTATTCCCTGCAACTTGCAAGTCAGAATTTGGATAATTTCCCCTGACATCCATAGACATTTTCCCGTGGAATGATGCCCTGATCATTTCTAGTATAACAGGGAAGAAAACACAGTGAAGAGGCTTGGAGAGCTAAAAAGAGCCCACTTTTAGTAATGAATAATGCTCAAGCAGCTGTCAAGCCACTTATTTTATATCCTAGATGTTTTGAGATACTAGGAACATTCCTGCCTTCATCGATGCGGAAGATAAGTCAAGTCAAGTCAAGGCTTCCATCCGTCTTTGCTGGTTTTTATCAGCCAATGTTGGAGCAAATGATTTGTTAATGTTGAGATTTTTCGCTCGGCTTCTATCTCCGGAGCAGGCAGCTCGCTGCTTTTCTGCAACTTTACAGCTATCTGTTTTAGCCAGTGAGGGATCGCATATTCGCTTTAATAAACAAATGCAGAGTTGCTGTTATCATTGCAGCTCTGAGGACGCGTCAAGAGGCTTAGGCAAAAAAACACCGCGGTGGATTTGCTCCCCGCAGCGTGCAAAACAGAGGCAGAAGTTCTTGGCATTACACATGCCAAGATCTTAATTTTGACCATTTCCCCAGAACCAAACCGAATCATTAGAGAGGCTAATAATGGCATCTTTCCTCAACTTTGGAAAGAGAATTATATTGGTTTGACTCTAATCTAAAAATGGGCATCTGGCGGTGGGGAGGATACATTTTTTAACGTTTAAAAAAAATCTTTACGCAATCCTTAGATAAGGAACAATAACCCTGTTCAGTGGTGGGATTCAAATAATTTAATAACCGGTTCTCTGCCCTAAGGACCGTCCGGGTGGGCGTGGCCATGGTGGGCGTGGCCAGAGGGTGTGACAGGCAGCCCTCGGCCTCCTGCACCCCCCTGGGAGCGAAAACGGATAGTGGGGGAGGGGGAGGCACCCCCCCCTGCACCCCATTTTGGGCCTAGGCCTCCCTGAAGCCTCCCTGGAGTGAAAACGGGCCACAGGGGGGCTCTGCCCCCCCGGCCCCATTTTGGGCCTATTAGGCCTCCCTGCACTTACCCGGGAGCCAAAATGGGGCACGTGGGGACTCCTGGAAGGGGCGGGGCCTGCCAGCAATTTAACTACCGATTCGCCCGAACCGGCTGAATCCCACCACTGACTCTGTTCCTGAACCATGTGCATTTTTTAAATATGTTATCTTAGGGGGGGTGGTTAGGAGCGGCACAGGGGTCTCCAACCTTGGCAACTTTAAGCCTGGCGGACTTCAACTCCCAGAATTCCCCAGCCAGCAAAGCTGCCAAGGTTGGAGATCCCTGCTCTGGCAGACCCAAACGGAGTCATACATTCCGCTAATAGTAAACATCGTACCGAGATCTGCATAGTTAGTCTTGCAGGATTGCCTCTGTCCACAGAAATATAGCTGAAAGGCAGGTTCATTGCATCTGCGTAGGGTGTTTCCATTTTCTAGTGCAGCAAATGCATCGCAAGTATAGCGGTAAGTGATGAATCCATAGCTATCTCTGAAAAGAATAAGAATATTAAGGCGTTACAACCTTGTAGAGATATTGGTAAGGGTATACCTCCCCCACAGAAATAAAGGGAAAGGTTTTTACTTCAAGTCGAACAAAATTGAACATCGAAATAATGTAATAAAAGCATGAACAGAATGCTGGCAAGGCAAAACATTACATAGTAAATATTTACCAAAGATTGAGAGGAAGGTGGATAAAGGATAAAAGCTGGCAATAGCTTACAACTAGAACCCTTAAAAAAGAAACTGAAGGCTTGATTTTGGCTGCTCAAGAGCAAGCTATTCAAACTAATGCAAACAAGGCCAGAACTGAAAAATCATCAGATTTTTCAAAGAGGAAAAATAAACAGTAGATCATACAGTCCCAAATGGACTTTTTCAAAAGGGAACTGGACTTCCTTTTTTCTTTTCTTGAAGACCTTTCGCTTCTCATCCAAGAAGCTTCTTCAGTTCTCAGGAAGTCCTGTTCCCTTTTGAAAAAGTCCATTTGGGACAACCATGGCCTGGGTGACAGAGACTCTCCACAGACAAGTAGGTCGTATACTTGTCCAGTTCACGCAAGAAAATCGCACAAACTGACTATAAACCATGACATAACACAGTTGCAAAAACGATGCACTGACACATTTCTAAAAATGTTCATGTGCCAGAAATGAAAAATTGGTGGGATATTTATCCTCGCACCTGCTTAGAGGATGTATTGTGAGTGTATATTTTAATATTTTAATGTATCATTTTGTTATATTAAATTTACCAAATACGGAATAACAGAGATTTGTTAGTGTTAGATAAATAAAGATGGCACTATTATAATAGAGGGGTTTAGAATATACCATAGTTGATTTATTTTACCGTTGTCAATATATAATTTTGCTCATTTCTTCCTGTGTTTATCTCTCTCTTTATTACTTTATGTTGCTGGTCATTGACCGAATAAATAAATAAATTTCACATTTCAAATCCTCACAGTAATCCTGACATATTTATTGATGGAACAAAACATCTCATCTATAGCTAGCTTCATAAACATGGGTTGGAGAGGAAAGAGAAGAGAAAATCACAGTTTGAACATTATTGCATTTTTATGGCCATTTTTCAAATCTCTGGGTCCCCTCCCCACAAAATGCAATATCCTGTCAGAGCTGAAGAAGCTCCTTGATGAGAAGCGAAACATCTTCAAAAGAAAAAAAGAGCCTGACGCATTCAGAGGAAACCCTGGTATTCTATGGAAAAGCAGCGAATGCCCTAAAAATTAGGGCTGTAGGAAAAAATGGGAACAATTTTACCGATTTTGTGATCTCTTAAGAGGCATCAGTAATGGGTGGTGCTTTTTCACGAGGCAACTGGACTTTCCTTTGTTTTTCCCTTGAAGACATTTTGCTTCTCATCCAAGAAGCTTCTTCCGTTCTGGCTGAAGGATGGAGAATGGAAGGATTTATAGTCAGTCAGAGTTGAAGAAGCTTCTTGGATGAGAAGCGAAACGTCTTCGAGAAAAAACAAAGCCCAGTTGCCTTTCGAACAAAGCATCTTTGGGACAATCTTGACCTGCATGATGGAGAATCTCTGCAGACCTCTCTGGGGGGAACCAAAGGGGAAAGGAAGAGTAATTTTACCCATCGTCCTGTAGATTCAGGGTACACTCCTCAATTTCACCGAAAACTTCAAACCGGTCCCTCAGTTCTGTTCGCGTAGCACCAGATCCAAGTCTACCGACATATATGACACGACGTTCTTCCTGTTCGTAAGAAGAAATGGTACATAATTTCTACATAAGTTAGCCCAAAATGGCAGGTAGGCCTTTGAGAAGCAACGCATCTTAGTATTGATGTAGGAGCCGTCACTGCCTAAATCCCTACAGATGTTCAGCAATGAGATGATCAAACATGCTTTTTCGGTTCCTCAGATTCTTTGACTATCCATCCACTTGATTTAACAGAATAACAGAGTGGGAAGGGACCTTGGAGGTCTTCTAGTCCAACCCCCTGCTCAGGTAGGAAACCTTACATCATTTTAGACTAATGGTTGTCTAATCTCATCTTAAAAATTTCCAGTGTTGGAGCATTCACAACTTCTGAAGGGAACTTCTGTTCCACTGATGAATTGTTCTCACTGTCAGGAAATTCCTCCTTAGTTCTAAGTTGCTTCTCTCCTAGATTAGTTTCCACCCATTGCTTCTTGTCCTGCCCTCAGGGGCTTTGGAGAATAGCTTGACTCCCTCTTCTTTGTGGCAGCCCCTGAGATATTGGAAGACTGCTCTTATGTCACCCCTAGTCCTTCTCTTCATTAAACTAGACATACCCAGTTCCTGCAACCGTTCTTCATATGTTTTAGCCTCCAGTCCCCTAATCATCTTTGTTGCTCTTCTCTGCACTCTTTCCAGAGTCTCCACATCTTTTTTCCATCTTGGCGACCAAAACTGGACACAGTATTCCAAGGGATTTAACTATTTAGCTGCTCTATTCTGGGCCGGGACACCTGTTCAGCTTTTCACTGGCATGTTTACTTGGAAGCGATAATCTTATTGTGAATATTTTAACCACTTTAAGATACCGGGGAAAGAAGTGGAAGATGGAACTATTCTTAGCGTTCCTCAGCCATTAAACCACCCGTCATTCCGAGAACAAGTTTAAAGATAGGCCAGTTAAATAAAAATAGTTAGATGGTGGCCAAGGAGAAACTCAAGGAGCAGGCGTTTTATTGCTGGGTTCAAAGGCTTATCGGTGTCAGGGTTATTCCGTGGCTGCTGAGGTTCTACTTGTTCTTCCTCTTTATCTAGGAACTAAAATAGGACTCAAAAGCTCTCTCAGGAATGTCAAGGACACGGCCTGAGTAAATAAATTGCTTTTACTGCAGATTGTAAGCAGTTGTAAGGACGAAGCTCAGCTTTTTTTAGCCTATGACTCCAGCTATGTATCTGTGCATATATATCCCTCAAGCGATTTTCCTCCTGCTATTATTATTTACTTTATTCATTAAACATGAAACTCAACTTCTTCTTCTTCTTCTTCTTCTTCTTCTTCTTCTTCTTCTTCTTCTTCTTCTTCTTCTTCTTCTTCTTCTTCTTCTTCTTCTTCTTCTCCTTCTCCTCCTCCTCCTCCTCCTCCTCCTCCTCTTCCTTCTCTTCTTCCTTCTTCTTCTTCTTCTTCTTCTTCTTCTTCTTCTTCTTCTTCTTCTTCTTCTTCTTCTTCTTCTTCTTCTTCTTCTTCTTCTTCTCCTTCTCCTTCTCCTCCTCCTCCTCCTCCTCATCTTGTATTGCATTTCTCAAGCTGGCCTGTTAATGGTTCCTCGCTGTTTTTTTCATAACACTCGGGTTTCTCACTTGGCTAGCTCAGTTCTTCTCCCAAAACACCACTCCAACGTACAAACAGACACTCTACAACTCTTAGTTAAAACTGCCCCAGGTTTTAGAGCCTAAAAGGATGGCCACTCTGGGATTCTTCTACGAGAGATCTCTGCAAACTTTGGAAATGCTGTTTAGACACAGCCAAGCTAATGAGGCAGATAGAAGGAGAATCTTTCCGTCTTTATTTTCTTAAAAATACCTTGAAATGGGAGAGGATTCAGCTCATAAATCTGGAAACAGTAAAGACTGGCTCCTGTACAGTGAAATATATATTTTCTCCCCTGAATGTCTCACCGAAACAGAAACTTAACTGTGCCGAACCACTTGGTGAGAAACAATTCGGTTGACATTAGCTATTGAACCTAAATGACTGACCAGATGGAGCATGACAGCAAATTTTCTCATATACTCCCATTTCCGACAAAATACCTAAATTGGAAAAGGGCAAGAAAAACGCATGAAGTTTCACGCACCAACGTAGAGAACACGGTGGAGTTACGTGCTGCCAATAAGCTCCTTCCCATATGCTTCCCTGAAATTTGTCATGGGTTTAATTATTTTTGGGCTTTTATCTACCTTTTCTCTCTTGTTTAGAGAGAGGTGGTGGTGGAAAAACCCCACTCTGATTTTTTTTTTGTTTAAGAAAGAAAAAAGCTGGGGAAAGCACAATTAAGGGAATAAGTAAAAGAGTTCAAATGTAGAAATTGAAATTTAACGCCGAAAGGCACCATATGTCCTCCGAGCACAGGAAACATTTGAATTAGCTGTTTCTTTAAATGGCAAACGGTTGTGCCATTTGGAAGGCATCCTGCCTGTTGTGAGATTGTGGCACCAGCTTTTTTAGAGCCTTGATCTTTCCGATCGTTTTCCTTTGCAGTCTTTCCTAGCTGAGCACAAGAATTGATCGGACGACTGAATATAAAGTCCCCCCCCTTTTTTTTTTTTTTTTTGTGTCTTCAAGTCAGTGTCGATTCCTGGCAGCTGCCTGGACACGTCGTCGTATTTTTCTTGCCAAAGAAAGCGAATACAATCCTGAGTTGTATAAACAGAGGCATAGAATCAAAATCACGTGAAGTATTAGTACTGCTTTATAAAGCCTTAGTACCTGGAATTCTGCCTCCAGTTTTGGTTACCACGTTACAAAAAAGATGTTGAGACTTTGGAAAAAATGCAGAGAAGAGCAACTAAGATGATTAAAGGACCGGAGACTAAAACATAGGAAGAACGATTGCAGAAAATGAGTTTGGCTATGTTGTGGCCCGTCAGCGACCTGTGCAGCTAGTAGCTGATTCAGACAGCGAGGAGGCTGATTTGGTGCTGCGCCAGCAGCCTGTGCAGCTGGCACTCGAGTCGGACAGTGAGGAGGCTGGAGAAGATGTGGTGCCAGAGGTGGAGATTCAGCCAGAACCTCCAGAAGCTCCCTTAAGTGAAAAGGACAAAGAGGAGGAGCCTCTTCTCGATGCACGGGCGCGCAGAGCTGCCAAAAGGCAGGAGTGGTTCCTCAGGAGGAGGTCTCCTCGAGAGTAAGGCTTGGGGCTAATTGGCCACTCCCTTAGCCTATTTAAGGAGGAACGCCGACTGAAGCAATTTGCAGGGAACAACGTTCACATACCTTCATGTCTTGTCTTGCTTATCTTATCAGCTTCCTGCAAATTGCTTCTGGGCATTCTGCCAACCACAGTAAGCTTTCATTATTATTCTTCGAATTCTTGGCAGCTGTTAATGCAGTTAATTAACAGCCGTTGTTGTAAAAAACTGGTTTATTTAGTAAACTAAAGTTTGAACGGACTTTGTGTGTGCTGCGTTCTTTGGGGTCTGTAGTTGGGGCAGAACAGGCTAGTCTAGAGAAAGGAAAGACTAGAGGTGACATGATAGCAGTCTTCCAATATCTCAGGGGTTGCTACCAAGAAGAGGGAGTCAAGCTATTCTCCAAAGCACCTGAGGGTAGGACAAGAAGCAATAAGGATGGAAACTAATCAAGGAGAGAAGCAACCTGGAACTAAGGAGAAACTTCCTAACAGTGAGGACAATTAACCAGTGGAACAGAAGTTGCCACCAGAAGTTGTAGGTGCTCCATCACGGGAGGTTTTTAAGAAGAGACTGGAAAACTATTTGTCTGAAATGGTCTAGGGTCTCCTGCTTGAGCAGGGGGTTGGACTAGATGACCTCCAGGGTCCCTTCCAGCTCTATCCTGATTGAATTAAAATGACAGTGTTATCTGCATAGAGCTTACAACTGCTTTCTGCCGCTCTCTTTCTCTCTGCTTTGCCCTTTCGGATTCTCGTTTTTCGTATTCTTTGCGATATTCTTCCCTCTTCAGCCTCTCGTGCTGATATTCCTCGTAGCTGTCGTATCTAGGAAACAAATGTGAATTGTTGAAATCAAAGGCCCAGATTTCCCCAAGGAGACAAATGAACAAAGCCAGCCTCATCCTTTGTGTTCTGTTGGCTTTTTTTTTTTTTTAATTATTTTTTGGCATATGCAAAAACAAGCAAACTTAAGTCAACTATCTGCAGATCCCTCAAATATCCTCAGATACAGACTCCTCACATATCAAATATCATCCCTCATATATGTACAGACCCCTCAAGTCCTGGACATAAACTGCTTCAAATTTCCCCCTCAAGACGATGCCACAGGGCATTGCACACCAAACAACTAGGACAGGTGTCATTCCACCCCTCCCATGCCATTACTCTGCTAAACAACTACACTGTCTCATGCCCTGGGATAACAAATCACGTAGAAAAGTTGTGCTACCATTGTCCTTCTCATCTTTCCTACCACCTATTTCCTTAGATCTTTACGACCGTAACTTATTGTTGTATCTCACTATTTATGTTGCTTTTATTTAGTGCCCTGGCAAGATTTATGTTGATTGCTTATTGAGTATCCTATGACTATCACTGAGGGTTATATCTCATGATTTATGATTATGATTTATCACTTGTGGCTTGCATGTACACTGAGAGGTTCTGCACCGGAGACTAATTCCTTGTGTGTGTCAAGTCACACTTGGCCAATAAAGAATTCTATTCTATTCTATTCTATTCTATTCTATTCTATTCTATTCTATTCTATTCTATTCTATTCCATTCCATTCCATTCCATTCCATTCCATTCCATTCTAATATTCTATTCTATTCTATTCTATTCTATTCTATTCTATTCTATTCTATTCTATTCTATTCTATTCTATTCCATTCCATTCCATTCCATTCCATTCCATTCCATTCCAATATTCTATTCTATTCTATTCTATTCTATTCTATTCTATTCTATTCTATTCTATTCTATTCTATTCTATTCTATTCCATTCCATTCCATTCCATTCCAATTTCCTATTCTATTCTATTCCATTCCATTCCATTCTATTCTATTCTATTCTATTCTATTCTATTCTATTCTATTCTATTCTATTCTATTCTATTCTATTCTATTCTATTCTATTCTATTCTATTCTATTCTATTCCATTCCATTCCATTCCATTCCATTCCATTCCATTCCATTCCATTCCATTCCATTCCATTCCATTCCATTCTATTCTATTCCATTCCATTCCATTCCATTCCAATTTCCTATTCTATTCTATTCCATTCCATTCCATTCCATTCCATTCCATTCCAATATTCTATTCTATTCTATTCTATTCTATTCTATTCTATTCTATTCTATTCTACTCTACTCTACTCTACTCTACTCTACTCTACTCTACTCTACTCTACTCTACTCTACTCTATTCTATTCTGAACTTCATTCTACTCTACTCTACTCTGACCATAGGGTGATTGACCTGGATGTGATCTTGAATGTAAGGGAGAACCTCTATTTGCCTGGGTTCTACAATAACTCAACTCATAATAGTAAGATCTGTAAGGTAAATACATGTTTTTTAAAAAACACCAGGTTAGCTAGAAAGTGCCTCTCATATACCATTAACCATACCATACCATGACATAAATTATGACTATTTTTCATGCTTAGGACCACTGCAGCATCCACAGGGTCAGGTGATCCAAATTTGGATGCTTGGCAACTGGTTCATATTTAGATAAGGTAAAGGTAAAGGTTCCCCTCGCACATATGTGCTAGTCGTTCCTGACTCTAGGGGGCGGTGCTCATCTCCGTTTCAAAGCCGAAGAGCCAGCACTGTCCGAAGACGTCTCCGTGGTCATGTGGCTGGCATGTCTCAACACCAAAGGCGCACGGAACGCTGTTACCTTCCCACCAAAGTGGTGCCTATTTATCTACTCGCATTTGCATGCTTTCGAACTGCTTAGGTGAGGCAAGAAAGGGAGCTCATCCTGTTGTGCAGAGCTCGGGTCTCAAAACCGGGCTGTTAGCTCTCCAGCTGACAAGCCCAATGTCTTTAACCCCTGAACCCCCTTCACAGTCAAAATAAATTCCTCCTCATTCAAGGAATAACATATATTGTACGCAGATATCAAATTTATTTATTTATTTAACTGAAGGAAAGTTATAAATATGCAAGAGAACCAAAATGAAAGTAAAATACATTCACATTGGCGGTAATATTACGGAAAGTAATGGAAGTGAAAATAGAATGCTTTTATATATATTGAATACTTTTGAATGCTTCTATATCATTCTAACCTATCTATCATATCTCTCTCTCTTTCTCTATCCATCTATAAATCCATCTATCCATCTCTCTACCTATCACTATCTATCACTCTCTCATCTCTATTTATCTATCATTATCTATCTATCTCTATCACTATCTATCATCTATCTCTCTACCTATCTATCTCTATCTCACTATCTCTATCTCTATCTTTCTATCATTTATGTATCATCTCTATCAGTCTCCATCTCTATCTCTCTATCATCTATGTATCATCTATCTATCTCTATCTATCTATCTATCTATCTATCTATCTATCTATCTATCTATCTCTACCTATCATTTATCTCTCTATCTCTATCTCTATCTCTCTATCTCTATCTCTATTTCTATTATTTATATCACCACTATATCAGTCTCCATCTTTATTTATCTATATATCTATGCATCATCTATGTATCATCTATCTATCTCTCTATTTATCTATCTACCTCACTCTACCTATCATCTCTATCTCTATCTCTATTTATATTATTTATATCATTTCTATGTCTCCATCTTTATCTATCTATCTATCTATCTATCTATCTATGTATCATCTATGTCTATCTATCTATCTATCTATCTATCTATCTATCTATCTATCTATCTGTCTGTCTGTCTGTCTATCTCACTCTACCTATCATCTATCTCTCTATCTCTATCTCCATCTCTATTTCTATTATTTATATCATCTCGATCTCAGTCTCCATCTTTATTTATCTATATATCTATGTATCATCTATCTATCCATCCATCCATCCATCCATCCATCCATCCATCCATCCATCCATCTCTATTTATCTATCTGTCTGTCTATCTCACTATTGCTCTCTCTCTCACACACACACTCTATCTCTCTAACTCTATCATCTATGTATCATCTCTCTCTCTCATCTCTCTCTCTCATCTCTCTCTCTCCAGTATATCATCCTTTGCATGCTTTGCTAGGGGGGGCTGGAGCTGGGACAAGTCACAAGAACTCAATGCACCGCGTGCTGCTCAGGTCTCGAACAGGGGCTGACAAACTCTCCAGCTGACAAGCTGATCCATCACCCCCTCTTGCAAACTGAAATTAGCTTCCTACCAAAGAATGTAGTGATGAAACACAGGCCTTCTAACTTTCCCAAAAGCGAGCCTTGTCTTTCATTAAGTGAAATCCCACCATCCCCTCACAGTTACCTTGAGGAGGAGCGTTTGCCGGGCGACCTTGACCTCGAACGGGAATACGGAGCGTGGGAACAATGCCTGCACTGTAGGAAGGGTCTCGACTGAGAGCGTAGCCTTTGGAACCGTTGAGCGAACGAGTTGGGGGGAGACCCCGAATCTCTGCACGGAGAATCCAGGGAAGAGCAGGAAGGTGACAAATCAAATAAGGTGTAGCCTTGTATCTTTTCGTTTTCCTCTTCGCTGTCATCCAAAAAACCCTCCATGGCTAGTCCCGAATTTATAAACATAGATAGCTTAGAGAACTGTTCATCGCTATAATGACCGTCGTCCCTCAGATCGCTGGTTTTAGTGGCCTCTTCCTCAAAAACAGCTTGGCTAGGGTGACCAAAATGCTTGTTGAGTTCGGCCCGGATCTCCTGGTCTTGGAGCTGTTTCCGGTTGTTGGATGGTAAGTCCTGCTTTCTCGCCTGAGAACTTTCTCTCTCGTCCTCCTGGTTGTTTTGCTCGAAGGAAGAACAAATATGGCACCAGTGTCCGGGCAGGCAGCCTGTTAATTCAACCTGACTGGAATTCTGTAGTTCCCAGGAACGGTTGATGCATCGTTCTGTCTTAGAAATGACCAACTGACAGTAATCGTGGTCGCCGAACAGTCTCAAACCGAGCCGCCTCGCCTTCCTCTCCTCTTGACCCAGGGGCAGCCCACTTGTCTTGCTCAGCTGCGCGTACAGCTCCGACTGCTCTGGAACCTTCCAGAACAAATTATGTCCTTGAGAGATGGAAGACTCACCGCAGCGAGGTTTCGGGGAAAGTGGCATAACAGTCTGGCATGAGGCCTTGGGCTTTGGTGAAGTCCTAAAAGGGTTTTCTTGGCTGGCCTTATGAGGAGGGGTGGTAGGTGGAGTTAGGCCTAAAATACAAAAGGAGGAAGGGAAAGCGGGGAGGAAGGAGAAACCCAGGTTAATCCATGCTTCATATTGCAACCAGTTGCGGTCACCGTACTGCAAAAAAGACGTTGAGACTTTGGAAAAAGTGCAGAGAAGATCAAAGGCCTGGAGACTAAAACATATGGAACATATAAGAGCCACGGTGGCGCAGTGGTTAGAATGCAGCACTGCAGGCTACTTCAGCTGACTGCTAGCTGCAGTTCGACAGTTCAAATCTCACCGGCTCAGTATTGACTCAGTCTTCCATCCTTCCGAGGTGGGTAAAATGAGGACCCAGATTATTGGGGCCAATATGCTGACTCTGTAAACCGCTTAGAGAGGGTTGTAAAAGCACTGTAAAGCGGTATATAAGTCTAAGTGCTATTGCTATTGCTACGAATGGCTGTAGGATTTGGGTTTGGCTAGTCTAAAGAAAAGAAGAATTAGGAGTGACATGATAGCAGCATCCCAGTATTTGAGGGGCTGCCCCAAAGAGGAGGGGGTCAAGTTATTCTGCAAAGCACCAGAAGGCAGGGCAAGAAACAATGGTTGGAAACTAATCTAAGAGAGAAGCAACCTGGAATTAAGGAGAAACTTCCTAACAGTGAGGATAATTAACCAGTGGAACAGCTTGCCACCAGAAATCGTGGGCGCTCCATTCTGTTCTGTTCTGTTCTGTTCTGTTCTGTTCTGTTCTGTTCTGTTCTATTCTATTCTATTCTATTCTATTCTATTCTATTCTATTCTATTCTATTCTATTCTATTCACTCCATTAATTATTCTATTCTATTCTATTCTATTCTATTCTATTCTATTCTATTCTATTCTATTCTATTCTATTCTATTCTATTCCATTCCATTCCATTCCATTCCATTCCATTCTAATTTTCTATTCTATTCTATTCTGTTCTATTCTGTTCTATTCTGTTCTATTCCGTTCCATTCCATTCCATTCCATTCCATTCCCTCCATTAATTATTCTATTCTATTCTATTCTATTCTATTCTATTCTATTCTATTCTATTCTATTCTATTCCATTCCATTCCATTCCATTCCATTCCACTCTATTCTTTCTATTCTATTCTGTATTATTTATATATTATCTGTTCCGTTCCGTTCTACTCTACTCTACTCTAATATACTTTAGGGTTAGTGTTAGGGTAGGCCACTCAGCTGGTTCCAAGGGAGGGCTAGTCCAGTACCTTAACCAGTAAGCCACACCAGAGCTTCCTTTTAACTGTATTTCACCATTTTAATCTTCAGAGTAATATTTCAAAATATTTACTCTTCAGTGCTAAAGCTAGTAGCCTCTCTTGTTCAGTATCCCCGCGGTATTTTGAAACCATTTGATTTATTCACCTTCCCTCTTTATGCAACATGGATCCTACCATTTTATAAATAAAATGAAACTGAATCCGCTACAGTGCAATTGTAAACTGTAAATCTACATGATCAAGGGATACATATAGCCTTTTGCGCCTATTCGCTCTTTTTAAAGCCCGATACGGTCATCCAAACAACAGAACTTGCCCCCCCACCCAAAAAAACCCAACACATCTGACATGAATGAAAGAAAACATGAATTATACACTGTTGAAAAGAGACAGCAAGGTGCAAAACATTATACTATACCAGTGATGGCTAACCTTTTTGCCATTGAATGCCAAAAACGGGGGAGCATAGGGGGGGGTGTCACGTGCGCGTGTGCCCACACCCATAATTCAATGTGCCCCAACTTCCCACTCTCTCACGCTTTTGGCACAAGATGGCATGGTGGGCCCGGTAGGCCCATTTTTCGCCCTCCCCAGCCTCTGGAGCCTGGGGATGGCAAAAACGGCCTTCTGCACACCCCCGGAGGCCCTCTGGAGGCCGGAAACGGCCTGTTTGCCGACTTACAGTGGGACTGGAAGTCCCATTGTTTGCTCTCCCCAGGCTCCAGAGCCTTTCTAGGAGCCTGGGGAGGACGAAAACAGCCTCTCCCCCAGAGGCAGGAAACATCCCATTTGCCGACTTTCGGTGGGCCCAGAAGGCCTGAAAATCAGGTGGCATGTGCACACCGGAGCTGAGCTAGGGCAACGCTCACATGCCCACCGATATGGCTCCACATGCCACCTGTGGCACGTGTGCCATAGGTTCGCCATCATGGTACTATACTATATAGAGGGAAATGTTATGTTACAGACGGGCAGCCGTGATCGTGATTTGCAGCAACACTTTTGACTTGTGAGGTTAATTAACAGTCACCCACTGCTACCCCTGCGCAGAACACACTTGTGGCACTGCAACTTTGTAAGAAAACTGCGTGCGGGGATGATCGTGAAATTGAAACGGCAGGTAAGCCATCTAAATTGCCCCGGTGCTCCTCGAGCCTCACAAAAGAAAAGCTGAACTTTACCTTCCATTTAACAAATAGAGGCTTAAGTAAATAAAGAGGAGACAAATGTCAGATCAATAACGGTTTCCCCTCACAGCATGTTAATTTCCTCTGCGATTTGCCTCTTTGTAGAAAGGAAAGATCACGCACGCAACAGCCTCGCCGAAATCCTCCCATGATAGAAGTCAAACTCTTTCGTCTCCGAGGTTTAGTTTCGTGCAGGAAGTGTTTGCAAACCCTTCTGGCTCCTTTCTGAGTTCATCAAAGGGGGTGTCGCATTCCCTGGCTCACATATACACAGACACAACTTTTTAAATTTTATTATTATTATTTTTTTTACTTTAACATACAGTAGTGGCCAAAATTGTGAAAACCTTTTGGGAAAAGTGTATTTTTTAAAACTAGCTACCGTGTTTCCTCGAAAATAAGACCTCCCTGGATAATAAGCCCTATCCCCAAAATAAATCCTCCCCCGAAAATAAGCCCTCCCTGAAAATATTTAAACGCATTTGCAGCCCCGCCATTTCCGCTGGTTACGGTTAGGGAGACAGAGCTAGAAATCAGGTAAGATGGCAAGAGGAGCCCCGTCTTGCTCCATGCGCCCCAAAATAATAAGACCTCCCCCAAAATAAGGTCAAGCACTTATTTCAGGGTTCAAAAAAATATAAGACAGGGTCTTATTTTCGGGGAAACACGGTAATAACACCACTTTTTTTTCCTTTGGAGTAGTACCATAAAATTATATATCAATGGAAAGATAATTGAATCAAGAATGTCATCCAATAACTTTTAGGAAGGATTTGCTATTAGAATAGGAGTTACAGTATAGAGAAGAAAAGTGAAACACGTAGAAAAAAAATGAGATATACAAAAATTATCACCATAGAAAAAATGAGATATACAAAAATTATCACCATGTCAGTGAATACTTAGTTGGGCAACCTTTAGCATGAATGATGGCCTTACAACGTCTTCCCATGGAGTGAACCAAGTCTTTGAGTTCTGCAGCTGTTCTCATGTGAAACCAAGATGGAATGGTGGCTTCTATTAACTGGGTTTTATTGCTGGGTCGCAAGTTCTGAGTAACCAGTTTCTTTAGTCAGCTGCATAGATTTTCCATTGGGATAAGAAGGTCTGGGCTATTCCCAGGCCATTCCAGCAGTGGAATAGGATTCTCTTGAAACTCCAAAAAAAAAAAAAAAGTGGTGTTATTAGCCATCAAATCTCAAAAATACACTTTTCCCAAAAGGTTTCCACAATTTTGGCCACGACTGAATTACAACTTGTCTTCAAAAGTTTCGGGTGCTCCATCACCAGAGGTCTTTAAGAACAGATCGGACAGCTTGAGGCTGGTCCCTTTCAGCTCTATTCTGTATGTTATTCTGTATTCTATAGTGTTGGGAATCAAAACTTTCCAGTTATGAGATGCACTTTCTTCATGAGATTGAAGGAGACTCATAAACTGTCATGAGGGGAAATGCTTACAGAATACTGTAATATTTTTCCAGAAACTGTAGATATTTCCTGCTTTGTGCTCCAAAACAACTTAACTGATGCAAAAGAAAAGGTTCTTCATTTTTATTCTGTCCCCCACACAAAAGATTTTCAACCATTTGAGAAAGTTGCACAGTAACTTGTCTTAAAAAAAACAGTGATTCAATGTTTACCAAACACTATCAGGAAACTGTCGTGAAGGAGACATACGGTTTAAGAGACAGACAGACTAAGAGACGGACAGAGAGACAGACAGAATTAGGCTGTGCTACTTTATACCACCTGCTAGGTTAGCTAAAATGTTTCAAAATATGTCTAGCAAATGTTGGAAATGTAACCCAAAAAAATGGGCACATTTTATCATATGTGGTGGACTTGCGCCAAAAAAAAAAAAGAAAGAAATTTGGGCAAAGATACATAGGTGGCTAGAAAAGATGATAGGGAAACATGAAGATTTTAAACCTGAACTGTTTTTATTAGGGATGATATCAGGAAAAAAATGATAAGGAAAGTATGTATTTAACATTACATGTCTTAATAGCAGTGAGGATTATATTTGCACAATACTGGAAAAATGAAGATATACCGTAAGACAAAGAGATAGGAAGATACTAGATTGTGCAGAAATGGATAGACTGACATTGAAAATTAAGCAGAAAGAAGATGTAGAATATTATCAAACATGGAATCTATTTTACCAATGGTTGGAAAAAAGGGATGGTGATTAAGAATGCAATTTGTATTGTTAAGCAAATTAAATACCCAGACAACACGATGTTTATTAAGCATTAGGAAATGTATTTAATAGAAAAATCAATAAAATAAATAAATAAATAAAAACTTAGGCTGTGCTACTCCAAACACCATTCAGAGGGCTAGCAAGATCAGCAGGGGAAGTCTATATTTATTGGCCAATTATTGCAAATCACAATGTTTCAATTGCCAAAGTCTGTCCCAAAGGAAATTCTTTCTGGGAAAAATAAGAATCCTGACAACTTCAAAAATGGAAAGAGTCACGATTCCTTCTAATTTGAACTGAAGTGGAGAAGGATGAATCGGCTTGCAAACAAAAAGCACGAGTAACGGAAGACAAGGAGAGCTCGCTACCACTTGGA